TCATATATTTTCTCTTAAATTAGCCTGCTTAATACGGACACCCGGATAATACGGACACTTTATCATGTCCCTTTGGTGTCCGTATTAACGGGGTTCCACAGCATTTCTTTTACAAATTTTAAAAGGGCCTGACGACAACACGTTGATTTAAGATGCCAGATACTCGATTTTCTAATTTCAATATCAGTTTCAATTTATAACCGACAATTTCCTGTTTCTAAGAAGGCTAAGACTTGCTTACCCAAATACTTTTTTTTTGATAAATCGTGAGGTTCCATTTCTTTATCTTTTGTTAAGATAACACTGGATCACATCATGAAACGCTTTTACGGCAGATTTAAAGCTGGAAAAGAAAAAAGGTATTCTTAAACTTTTTAAATCTTTGCTCCTAATAAAGAGACCCACAAACGAAACGTCTGTTTCGATGCCTGCCGGTCAACGATCTCTGGCTTTATTACGCAAATTTTTGCGTGAGTGTCACACCAAACGTTGACCTTTATTAACGTGGAAGGACTTCGTGCCAGTCGTCGAGCTGCCGGTGATACTTTTTGAGACATTGAATGAACCATAAAAGGACATCTTTGAGGTTGGGGTACAAAAAAATTGAAGATCCAGTTTATGGCAAAAAAATACAACAAACAAACAAACAAAGACTGAAATAAACTAGTCTTTGCCTTTCGCTGCCACATTGTGTACTACTGGAACTTTCTTATTTTCTCAAAAATGCAAAGAGAAGTCAAATAAGTCTTACTTATTTTTATTTTATTATTAGTTTTTGGAATAAAACCTATGGTAAAATTCCGCACTAAACTGCTTCATAAGTAATTCCAGACTGAATACCAATGAAATTAATGTAATAAAGTCAACTGATCTCAATTCAGCAAACATTTTGAAGTTCTGCCTACAGCAGGAAATTCTGCAACTTACTATGAGTGTTGAGTTCTTCAATTTCTGCCAAAAAAATCGCTTTTGAAAAGACAATTTGATAAAATATGTTTTACGAATCGACTAAAATAACACGTTTAAGCCCATAGTCAGGTGTTTCAAGGAATTTTTAATGATCTTTTGTCAGTTCTTTCGGCCTTTATTTGCTTCTGACTATTAACTTAATGTTGCTCACCCTAAAAACACTGAATTAATGCTCCCAACCCATGAAATCAACACAGGACAAAGTTCAATGGGAGAAAAGGGGTAAGGGATGAGGTGCTCGAGTTGCTAATAGCAATCATGCAGGGTATCACAGGTCAGTTGGTTGGGAACGAGAGGTTGTAATCCTCTTCGTCCTTTCAGGGGGCCCTACAACATAATCAACCTGGTTCCCAAGAAACTGGGGTCCTGATCTCCAGGACCCTTAGGAACAAAAGAACCACATGCCCTGGTTCCCAAGCAACTGGGGTCCTAATTTCCAGGACCCTTGGGAACAAACAGAACCACATGCCCTGGTTCCCAGGACCCCTAGAAACAATCAACAACAACCGACAACAGTAACACTGGGGTCCCACTCTACCGGGAAAGCTGACCCTGTGAGGCTATGGGGCAAAAGGGCGAATTGTACGGAGCACCTCATCCCCAAAAATACACAAAGTGTGTTCCCCATAGGCGAACAGCATGCAACCACAATAAAGGCCTGTATATTCAATCCTCTTCATAAATATGTACATATATAAATACAAGACTGATGATGTTCAGTTGAGGTTTAAATTTATGTATGCTGTTAAACTTTTAAAACCCATCGTCCAAAGAGAAATTCTCCTGACTTGTCACCATACAATTTTTTATGATTTTGTTGGGGGAATTTTATGATGTGAAAACAATTACACTGGTAAACATATCATTAAGTCTTGAACTCTCTCTCATGTTTAAAAATCAAGATTGGGAGAGGAGATTTCATATTGATCACTCCTGGGACATGAAAGCTTAACAGGCAAAATTACAAGATAGAATTCAACAGAAATCAAATTATTTACAGCCTTGCGTATTTAAAAATAGAAAAACGTAGAAGGTTAATTTCCTTAATGGTACTTATCCCCCACTAGTTTCTGGGGACCTCAAAAATAAGGGGTTGTAGGCATCTAATATAGCGTTCATAGCAGTCGGAAGACCAGCGATCTAAAGTTTTGATAAGCCAAGGGGCGATTCCCACAGATTCAGCGGTTGTAGCTGCCCCTATTCTATAACTGTGGCCTGCGTACAGAGTTGGAGTAAAGCCTGATTGGGAAAGAAGCTGCCCTGTTTCTGAAGTCAAAGCATTCTTGGTGAGAGGCTTTCCAGATGAATATATAAAAAGGGGGCCCAAGGTGGGTTTCCGTAAAGTTATATAAGTCTTCATTGCCCTAACTGGACAGACTGGTTGCTACGTTTTACCTATGAGGATGGTGTGGCCGGATCTAAATGGGTCGGTTTTTGAAATTTTTATGCGGACTGACATGTGCTCAGTATTCTCCCAGGAGGGATGAAAAGTGACATCAGCTGGGGTCAAATGTGCTTCAGGACAGAATTGGCTATTGCAAGTTAACTCCCCAAGGCGAAGAAAACCAAAGAAGGCCAGAGTCATTGATGCCCAAAGCATAATTGAATCATAATTAGGGTTATAAGAAATTGCTAACAAACAATAGAAAAGCCTCTGCAAACAAGCTGTAGGCGCAGACATTTGTTAAGGCCAAGTGTGAAGTCGCGACGAATGTGAAGATGGCGAACAGCAGCAAGGTAACCTTTAATGGATGAGTATTTGATTGACCTAGCCAGAAAGGCAGCATACTGTGTAAGGGTATCTTCAACGGTTGGCAAATATCTACCTGATGTTGGGCGGTAAAGAGAACAGAAATCCAAAAATCCTTTTTCAGCAGAGGAATAAGTTTGCTCAGTGGAGGCGGCAATGGATAGATTTAAATAGTGGTTGATATCTGCATCTAAATCTCCCAGAGTTACTGTGATATTGGACTGGGGACTTGGTCTGCGTGTGGGGCCAGAGTGCGAAATCTTTCCACCTGAAAGCGAGAAAGCGAGTCAGCAATTTGGTTTCTTTTTCCCTCAATGTGGCTGACCAAAAGTTGAGCCCCATAAGTGGCAGGCGACAACCAAAGCAAACAGCTCCTGCCAAGCAATGCTTATGCCGGGTTGCCAGAGTTGCTGGTGTCCTCTCCACTGACCTTGAAACCACTGAGTAGCAAAGATACCTCCAAAACCTATGGAGCCTGAGGCATCTGTATACAATTGCAATGAATCTGAGTTGACCCAAGTAGTTGGTAGGAAAAATCCGACACCATTCCACCCTGAGATAAACTCTTGCCAGATGTTGAGGTCCTTAAAAACACCTGAGTTTAACTTGATGTGGTGATGGGACTGGGAAACTTTGCGGGTTAACGTAATCATGCGCTGCAGAAATGGGCGTCCAGGGGGAACTACTCTACAGGCAAAGTTCGGAGTCCCGAAGAAAGCCTGCAATTCCCTTAAAGGAAGTTTGAATGCCCTCCACTTTATCATGGGGGAGGCGGGCCTCCATCATAACCGAGTCCAGAATAATCCCCATAAATTCTAGGCAGGCTAAGCTCTGTTTACAGCCCAGGCTGGGTGAAGCTGAGCCTGCTGGAGGCTCAATAGTTTATAAACCATCCAGAATATGACAAACGAATGAAATGGCACACTTATTCAGCAAGATCCATTCAATAGCCTCTGAAAGCTGATTAAAAAGATATGGGGCACTTCGTAAACCAAATGGAAGAACCTTGTCATAGTAAAAAGAGCCTTGCCAATACATACCAAACAATTCGTAGTCAGAGGGGGAAAGCGGGATAAGACGAAAGGCAGAATCAATGTCTGTTTTTGCTAAATATGATCCTTGACCAAAGCGTAAGATTCCCTTGATGGCATTATCAATGGTGATGTACTGTAAACTGTAATGCTCCTTAGAGATGAAATAGTTGATGCTGGTGGCGCCCGACTTAGGGAAAGACATATGGAAAATGGTCCCAAATTTTTCTGAGTGCTTCTTCGGTACTAAACCGATGGGGGAAACTTGAAAATTTGGGANGGGGGGGGGGGGGGGTAGGAAAGGGACCAGCCACGTAACCCAAGGGCACTTCTTTCATTAAGATAGCTGTGACGACACTAGGCTGCTCTAAGGCAGTGGGTAAGTTCCGGGAAAACCTGGGAGGCCGGGGTCCAATATATCCAACACTAGCACCATACTTCAAATTATAATATAGACGGGAGACAAATAAATGGTCTGGGTGGTCGCTAAGCACCCTCTCTAAGCTATTTACATTGATAGGGGTAGGAAGAGGCTCAGAAAATACCTTACTTCCTTTGGTAAGAGTTCGACTTGGGTTTTCCCTTGTCTCCATCCCCTGTTCTATCTTGGTCTCCATCCCTGACCTCCCTTGTTTTCTTTGTGGCATTGGGGCAGTCATATCCCGGGTGTGCCCCTGAGCACCGGCTACATACGTGTTTGAAAATACAGATGTCCCTGTTACACCGCCCTCCACGATTGAAGGCATAGCAAGTGCCTCGGCGTACGCCCCCAGACGAGACACTGGTGGTTTGGGGTCCTTTAGAAAAAGGAGAGTACTCCTCTTTTAGCACCGAAGGTGCCACTGTAAAGATTGTAAGCCAAAGTTGCTGATCATCTTCCGACCACACACGGGTCTTGTTTTGGCCAGCTTTTTGACGGAATTTATAATCATAAATTGCCCATCCTAAGCCCTTATGTACACGTGCAGCATACCTAATCAAACTTAAATATTGTAAGAGTTCCTGGGGACGCTGAGGGAACTTGTGAGTGAAGACGCTCATATATGTAGTGAAAGCTGTGGTCCACTCTTCAATTTCCGTAATCGAGATGGTAGTCTGGGCTTTCTTTGAAACTCGGACAATCGAGTTATCCAGGGTAAGAACCAAATTGTCTTTCTCATCTACAGCTGACAATCGTTTAGGTAGGAGTCTGGACAATTCAAAAAACTCACTGGATTGTATGTCCTTTATATACTGAGCAGGAATATCCTGGAATGGCGCTGCATATTGACATACATCTGATGGGCTTAGTGTTTGTTGCTGTGTCACAGATACAATGGCTGGCGGAGTAGTGGAGGCTGAAGGCGACGAATCTGGCTGTAAAACCTGCACTGCGGCGAGAGCCGCTTCGTTAGCGATTTCCCTCGAGGCAGCGGTAATGGAATCCTGAATTAGTCGCCGTATTGTGGTCAACTGTCCTTCCGTGAAGTTGCTATCGCTGGCGTTACCGTTGGCCACATGGTCTTGGGGAAGGGAAGACGTGTTGTCTTCAAGAACTTGCAAATTGTGTTCTTGTGAAGTCCGTCCTCTTGTTACACTAGGGACTTTAAGCAACGACAACGGGGACGGCGACGGGAACGCCATGAGATCAGGGAAAAGCCAAAAGGTTCACTGCGCATGACTGGCGGGAAACATGTTGACGTTCTGCGTTGGGGCCCGACGCGAGTGGAGCTGGTTTCGCGTTGTCTGAAAACGTGAGTATTCGAGCTTATTCGCTTTCGGTTCCTCTGCTGTGTCAACGCTAAATAAACCCGTGAAACTAATTTCGAAGAACTTTAATTGCTTTTTTCCTCATGTTATGCGAGATATTTCATTTTAATAATGTTTTNGAGATCAGGGAAAAGCCAAAAGGTTCACTGCGCATGACTGGCGGGAAACATGTTGACGTTCTGCGTTGGGGCCCGACGCGAGTGGAGCTGATTTCGCGTTGTCTGAAAACGTGAGTATTCCAGCTTATTCGCTTTCGTTTCCTCTGCTGTGTCAACGCTAAATAAACCCTTGATACTAATTTCGAAGAACTATAATTGCTTTTTTCCTCTTGTTATGTGAGATATTTCATTTTAATAATGTTTTTTTTTACTATTTTTAAGACTCAAGATCCCGAAGCAAGTCGGCGAACATGTGAGTACCGTGAAATATGTTTTTGAAAGCTGGTGTAAATAAAGACAACTTACACGCATTTCAGTTTAAATTTTTTCCATCGGGAAGCACTCAAATGGCAATATTGGTTTATTATGATGAAAATCTGAACACATTTAAAAGGGTAGACACCATAAAAACTTGTGTAGCCGTTTTCGGATTTAGTCGTAAGATCAATGGTTTACTTTAATAGATCTTAATCAATCGGCACACTGATTTGTCGTAAACAATATTCTGCAGATTTTCATTTACTTTATTGTGTAACTCAGATTTGCAGATATTAAAAAGGATTTGGATCTTTGGTTGTAGCTGGATAATCCAGAGCCACTTTTGCCAGCGAATGTGTTCTGGTTTGTTTAGTCAGTTTGGTTCTATTTAT